CAGTGCAAAAGTACTGAAAGGCATGCTGCAAAACAACAGTTATTGGTGCCCTAAATGTGCTACTAAAAAAAGGTCTCATGATTTGCGTGCGATGTTCAAGTCCCCACGATCCAGCTGCATTCTTTTGGGAACATATTCATCCATCACGCGATGCATAATTATTCCGTCCTTATTCCAGGACCTCTCAAAAATTGGCTCTTGCAGGCTTATGCAAACTTATGCTGAAGATGTGCGACAAACTGGGAGGACAATCTAACCCAGTTCTGACGCCTCGGTGGGCACAGACCTTAATGGCAACACGGCAAACGGCAGGCTCAAAGAGGCGTGTAGAAGGTCCCTCAGCATTTGGCGACGGAGTCTGCTGCATGGCATCGGCCATGGCCTTCTGAAAATTCTCATCCTTCACACAAGGTCAATCCCCACTCAAGTTACTCACGTTCAATGCAAGAAGGTCCTGAAAGTTTCTGACGAGATCCTTGAAGAAGTCCTCTGCTCGCAAGCCAAGGATCCAGAAAAAGCATATGCCACGCGCTGGTATCCTCGCCCGGAGGTTGACCTTCACCAGTCCTCATGGCATCTGGAAATCTGCGCCATCAAGATCTGCGGGACAGACCTGGCCTTTTGGCTCCCTGTTGCAATTCTCGAACAGCCTTGCATTTGGACAGCTCTGTGCTGAACCTGACCGTGTGAGCTTGATGGCCAAACCTCGCCAGCACTCCGCCCACTGTCAGCAGGAGCTGCCTGCCCGCATCTTATGCATCCCAAAAAAACCCACACCAAACGGATTGATTGGCAAGCCTTTCGGTCGTTGTCGAGGGCAGTTTGCACGCCAGTGAGCGAGTCAGCGATGAGATTGTCCAAGTCATCTGCCTACTTCAAACACGCAAATGACATGACACGTGCTCGGCCAAGAACATTCCGTGTGCGCTCCTCCATGATCAAGAGGCAAAACTAGTGGATCCTCAGGATTTGTGCTTCAGGGCGAGAAGGCAGTCATCCAGTCATCGTCCTGCCTTCTGCACAAAGAAACGCGTTGAAAGGCAGCACTACCAAGCACTCAGGAGACTACAAAACATTCGAGGCTTGGCTTGACGTACACTCATGATGGAATGACAAGACGCTCGATCAAACATCATGCTGCTCAACCTCTGATTGCTCGGCAGAAAGCTTTCGGTGCTGTTCGGGGCGCAATTTTTTCACACGCGTGTGCTGATGTGCCAGTCACAGGAAATCAGGGTTTGCTGACCAGTCTCCCTCACATAGCTCAAGCATACAAATCCGTTGTTGCTCTTGTCAAAAAGGGAACGCATCCTCACTATCCATCTTGGAACGCGGCTTGGAACAAGCCGGAATCACTTCAGGTAGTGGACAGGCCAATAGTCGTCCCAGGATTCTCTATTGAGGGAGGTCTGGGCTAGGGACGTGAGAAACAGTGCTTCTCTGCCACAGCCTGTCACAGCCGCGGCTTCTGAGAGGACGGCTTCGGCCTTGCTTCGATTCAAACCCGACAGAAACAGGCTGGAATCTGACCCCCGCGTGCGCACGCCTCTTCTTTTTAAACGAACACATGTCATGCCTTCGTTGTGAGACATCTTTGGTCCAGGCAGGCTACCTTCAAAGCCTTTGGAGTGCTGGACTCTTGCAGAAACGGACAGCAATTCAGCATCCATCCTTGTCCTGTCAGAGGCCTAGCAACATGATGACGTGCTCGCGACGCGGCCATGATGCCGCAGCCTCGTGGCAAACAGCCCTGTTGTACTTCATGTGGAGCTCGCCCTTCTCAACACGCACATGATTCCAGCGGAGCTTGTATCTATAGATATTCAACGATGGAGAATGTCTTACTCCTATCAACAAGCTTTCATAGCACATGCTTGCCATTCACGTGTAAGTAGAGCAGTTGGGGTGTGCCGGAAATCAAGCTAGAAAGCGTGGCAAACTGCTCAGCCTTCTGCTCAGCCTGCTAATTCATTTGGCCATTTCTTGCGCCACCATACACATCCCGGCCCATGTTGGACTGCGTTTGTGTCATCATGACCTCCATCATGCCACAATCCAAGCAATTGATGAGTAGCGCCATCCAACAATCTCGCGCCTTAGAAACTGGCCGCGCATAGGCTGATTCCAATTCGATTGGTGCTCGTGGATCATGCGAATAGGTGCAGGCCTGCAGGGCGCTTCTAACTGGAGAAAAACGACTACAGCAAGTCTGACTCACGGGACTGCAGGCCTCTCCAACGGCACAATAGCCACGCTGGTGATGAGCACACCGCAGCCTGTCTTTGGAAAATTGTGTGGGGCTGGGAGGCCTGCTTCATGTTTCCGCTGCGCTGCGCTACTGACAACCCTTCCCATGAATTCGAAAATGCTATGCAAGCCTTTTGTAGCCCGGGCTCAGGGCGTTGAGATGTGGAACCTCCAGCAGTTGATAGAAGTCCTTGTCACCACCTGAGCTTGGCATTGCGAGGCCTATGTTGCGGCCATCGATTTCTGTGCACCGCAACACCGCGCTGGTAATTTCCATCTGGGGAGCTATGCTTGAACCCCTGCCAGGGTTTGCACGACTCATGAGCATCAGCTGCATCAGCTTCACAAGTGTACAAGTCTCAAGGAAGAACGGCTATGCTTTCAGCCAGTGATACAGCTCTTGACAATGAATACTGCTGCACAACGAGAACTGTCTCAAACGACAATGGAAAATTAATGGCTACCAAGCGAAGCTGATACAAATCAAGCAATACTAGTAACTATAGTATATTCGAGATGCTTAGTTTTTAATTTGTGGAAAGATTTGATTGAAGCCCCTCCTTGTAGATCTCGAACCACTGCCCGCGCACCGCCTTTACTGAAGGGTGTCGAACAAGAAACAACTTGTGCCCTTGCAGCGGAACCTGGTCCAAGGAGGCCGTTCGGACCTTCATTTGTCTTGCGACGGCACTGAAAACCTTAGATCCACACTCGGAGATTGAGGAGCACTAGCACGACTGCGGATCACTGCCGTCAGGCGTCACCCTCGTCGTAGACATTTAGGCTGGCCATGCATCTCAAGACCTTGCACTGGGATCAGCCAAAATCGTAACGGCCAAGCCTTGCACCAAGGAACATCATCCGCTTGTTCCACGCTGAGCCTGCGGCAATGCACAAAATAAGTATCTTGGCTTCGACGTAACGGAAATTAGATCCGCAGTCTCCACCCAAACCTAGCTTCACCAATTGCTCTAGCTGCCTTACCTCCGGGTGATTGTGTCCTGGCTTCCTGGACTACCGTCCAGCTGGCACAGAAGAAAAATGCAACATGCAGGTCGCTTGCTCCAGCCTGTCTCTGAGCAACAGCCTTGCAGGGCAATGTACAGGTGAAGCTAAATTACCAGGTGAAATACCTTAAGCACTGACGAAATTCTGACAAGTCTTCCGTGTTCCAATGCAAGCAGAACCCAAGGCTCCCACCTCTTCAGCACGGCGCTCAGAGCCCTGCGAATCAAATGTTAACCAGAGGACACGTCAAGCTTGTCTGCTGTAGCCCATCCACCCCTCTAGCAACTGTGACTTCATAGCTAGCACCAACTAAGAGCTGACTGCGAAGAGCTTCACTGATTGAGGGACCTGATGATATCGTTGTCGAAAAACTTTGTTCTGGAAAGGGCCCTACAAGCCGCAGCCGCATCTTCGGGCAGCATCCTGGCAGGGATGTTCGGGAAGAGCTAGTCTGCCGGAATCTTCGGACAGGGACTTTTGACGGGGTCCTTTCGACGAGAAGCTTTTGGACAATAGAAGAGCAAACCCTGGACCCATATCAGAGCATTCATCCTCTTCAACATCAGAAATTATTAAAAGTGAGCAGGCGTTGTCAGGCGACATGCTCCAAATGTACCGCTTAACTACGACGACCTGTTCAGTACACTTCAGCGATAAACTGGAACCTGTGTTCAATGGTGTTTGGTGAATTTGTTGGCAGATTCATCATTGCAGACTTGCTTTGAGTGGAAAACCGTGAAAAGTTGATTTGAAACGAGGATTCTACGCTGGCTAGGGAATGTTCCCAGGCATTGCCTTGGAAGCTTTTTGAGCAATGCAGGAGCAAGCACCATCATTCTCCCAAATGTCTCCACCTCGAACAGCCAAGAACCGAAGCACAAAACAGTACAGGGAATTGTCAGGGCTTTTTGGATCCCGAGGCTTTCGCCCGAGGGCCCTGACTCTGCGGACATGTGGCTCCATCCAAAGTACCAGCACTAACATCTGCATTCTCATCCTCACTTCCAGAGGCGTCGTCCTCCAACTCGCAGCAACTGCAATAAAGCTGTGTGCGAATTTGCAAGATGCAAAGAAAGGCTGGCCTCCGAATCTTGAGCCTGCTTCGCTGACTCTGTTTTTGCCTCGGGCTTCTCCACATTCTCCTGCAGACAAATAGCCAGTGTGTGCTTTGTGCAAGCTTCATCACCAAACGCCAACAGAATGGCATGCAAACAAATCCCACCATGAGAACCTGCTCAACATCTCACTCAACACCACAGCTATGCTGCCACAGAACTGCATTTGACTAAAAGGTTCGTCACAAAGGCATTTCAGCTGTTGTTTTTGCCAGGCGGCTGACGCGCCGCCCCGATCCCTAATTTTAGTAGGATTCGGGGTTGCGCGAGCTTGTAGCCGACATGTCCACGTGCACGAAACTGGGGCTTTAAGCACATTTGAGATGTTGAATTTGTCTTCGAAGCCCCTTGAAATGCAAAACTTAGCGCCGAACAAAAAAACAAAACAACTTTCCTGTTAAAAACCCCACGGTTGAGCTCTTTTACTGCAGTTTATGTTGGGGAGAGGCTGCTTAACGTGTAATTTACAATGTTTTGATGCGCGAGCGAACAGGAAAAAATTGTTTTTCTTCGGTTTAGATGGCTACGTGTCTTAGTGGCATGAGAAAGGAAGGCTGAAGCCAAAGGACGCTTGGCAAGGATTTCAGCGCGTGTCCCATGACGGCCAAGATAATATCGTTCAGGTTCCTAGTGCATCCACGTTCGAGAGCATCCATGCTGGCCAAGATAATCTCGCTGGCTGACGTTCATGTTCCTAGAGCATCCATGATCGAGAGCATCAATGCTGGCTGACGTTCATGTTCCTAGAGCATCCATGATCGAGAGCATCCATGCTGGCCAAGATCATATCGTTCATGTTCCTAGTGCATCCATGATCTAGAGCATCCATGCTGGCCAAGATA